AAAATGGTCTTAGGTACTACACACTTCTGCTTGGAAAGTACATAGGAATGAAGTGCTGAATCATGGGATATGCATGTGTTCAGCTTCAGGAGATACACTCATCAGTTTTCTGACATGGCTGCACCGATTGCCACTTCCACTCATGGTGCCTGAAAGCCTTCATTTTCCACATCCTCAGCAACGTGTGTACTTTCTGACTTTCTGGTGAGTTAGTAAACTACATCTCCTTGATGACTGAAAATGGAATGACTTTTCATATGTTTATGGCCATTTGCATATCTGTTTTTTATATCGGGTCTGTTCCAGACTTTTTACTTCCTTTTTCCTGCCTTTTCCTTTTTGTCTGGAGTTCTTCCTATATTCTCAAATCAAGCCCTTTCTCAGCCATCTATAAATGTAAACCTCTCCCACTCTGTGCCCTGCTTCTTCACACTCCTTGTTGTCTTTTGGCAAATGGACATTCTTAATGTTAATTAGGTCAAATTTATCAACATTTCCTTTGTGTCTTGTTTAAAAAATATTTTTCTCCTGGCTACCACTCGAAAGAGGTCAATGCAGGAGATGCTGGATAAAGTGGGAGAATAATATAGAACAAAACTCAAAATCATTAAAAAAAAAAAAAAAAGAAGAAGAAGAAAGACAGACCAGGTTTACTGGTCTGATAAAGCCTGGTGAGATCCCAGAGACTATGGCCCCTAGTTACCCTTCAGGGCTAGAACTGAACTCACTCCCATGGCTTCCAGCTGAACAACAGACAAGCATACAGAGTGAACATTTACACCAGGTAGATATACTCCTTGGAGTGATCAATCTGATAAATCCTGGGAGAACAGAAGGGCAGTGTTTGCACAGGAAGATAGCTGGGGGGCAGGGCTGCATGGGAGGGAAGGACACAGGGAAGAGGTAACTACAGAGAGGAAGTGGGAAAAGGTAACCACAGGGAGGAAGTCAGAAGAGAGCTGTTCCATTGTGGGGAACTGCAGCCAATGTCATGAAACAAAGTGTGTAAGAACAGCTGTATGGAAAATTAATTTGCTCTGTAAACTTTCACTCATATCACATTAAAAATTATATATATATGTGCGCATATATATATATATATATATATATATACACATATATTTTTTTTTCCCTTACTCCAAGGTGATAAAGATGTTCTCCTATGTTTTCTTCTTAAAAAACGTCATTGTTTTGTACACTTAAATTCCTAATCCATCTGGAGTTGACTTTTGTATATTGTGTGAGGCCTAGGGGTTAAGATTAATTTTTTTCGCCATATGGATATCTAATCAATGAATTTCCATAATGCATTAATAATAGTTTCACCTTAGCTGACTGAATCAACACGTGAACTCATAGATGCTGTTAATGTAAAAATGTTAGGTAGCAGATAAAAAGTAGAATGGTATGCTGGGAAAACAATGCATTTTAAAATAGAAAGGCTAGGTTTTAGTCGTGGCTCTGTTGCTGATTTCACTGTATGGCCTTAAGTCAGTCAATCATCTTTTAATGCCACAGTTTCCTCAGCTGACAAGAGACCAAAGGATGGCTTGAGTAGCAGCTGTTCTTACTGAAGAATCTAAAAGATAGCAATAAAGGTCTGTGTGTGATTATACACATATCCTTTGGTAAGTTGCTGGTGATGTAATATTGATGTAACTCAAACTTTGGGATATGTCCTTGACTCCTCAAGCTTGTTTCCCAACAATAGCTATTTTATTTCTTTATTTCTTTCCTAAATGACCATATAAGTTTACACAGATGCCCTCTTTAGAATGTTCTAAAGAACAAGATGACATTTTTCAAAAACCTAGTGGACAACTAAAGAAGGTATCATATCCAATGAAACGGAATACATTTATTTATACGGGGTTGTCTTCAACCTCTTTGTGTTACAGAATTCCACAAAGTCACACAAAGCAAGTACTGAAAACTTACAGAAAATCACAAACAATACTGGATAGTTCACTTAGCTTTTCAAAATCTGGTGAGGATCTTTCCTGTAGGGTTAAAAAGCTAGCAAATTAGTGCTAAGAAAGAGCTATTGCTAAAAATAGGAGCTCTGGTGGCAAAGTGCCTAAGGCATTTGACTGTTAAGCAGAAGGCTGGCAGTTCAAATCCACCAGCCACTCCTCAGAAGGAAGAGTGGGTAATCTACTTCCCTAGTGACACATCCTCAGAAACATAGAAAAACTTAGCTTAAGTTTTAAAAGGTTTCATTTTTAGGCTTTTTCACTGTTTTCCTTAGGAAATATTTCATACTATTTATAAAATACATATATAATAAAAACAAATCCCTGTGCACTGAATGTTATCAATTTTTAAAAAGCACATTTCTATTAACTTTGAAACTCCTGATGTCCCATTCCTGATCACATCCTATTGCCTCCTTCCCAGAGATAAAACTATCCTGAATGTCTGTATCATGTCCTTATTTTTCCTTATAGTTTTAATATATGTATGTATCCCTGAACAATATGCATTATTTAGTCTTGCTTATTTTTGAGTACTGATAGGAACGCTATCATGTTGTATGTAATCTTCTACAACCTATTTATTTCGCTCAACATGATATTTATGAAATTTACAGTGTATGGCTAAAATTATATCCTGGTTCCAAAAGTGTAATCATTGGGTTTAAAGACTAGTCATCTTTGAATTTGCTAGAGAATGCCACTTTGTTTTCAAAAGTAGTTGTATACAGAGATATATAAGGGTTTCCTTTGCTCAACATCTTCACCAACAATTTTTTTGGTATGTTACATTTTTTTAATGGTCTAAAACTGACATAAGTTTTAAAAATTGAAAGCCTATTTTTATACAGCCTGAAAGCTAAGATGGTTTCTACATTTTTTAAAAAGCTGCAAAAACAAAAATAAAAAACATTCAAGAATATACAATAGAGACAGTAAAAAAAAAAGCCAAACTCAATGCTGTTGAGTCGGATCCAATTCACAACGACCCCTCCTTGGGGTTCCAAGGCAGTATCTCTATGGAAGTAGATTGCCCAATCTTACTTTCCAGGAATGGCTAATGGGTTTGAACCGCCAGCCTACTGGTTAGCAATCAAATGCTTTAGGCACTATGCCACTATGCCACTCCCAATAGAGACAGTACTAGCCCACAAAGCCTAAAACATTTACTAGTTGGCCCTTTAAGAAAAAGTGTGCCAACTCCCATTCTAAAACATTACCCTTATCAAAACCATCCACCCTATCACTGCACATTATTTTATAAACAGCTGCAAAAATGACCTTTATAACCTCCCAAAGTTCTACAAAGATTGAAATCATCCACTTAAATATAAGTTTGTTTTTAAAAAGTATAGATATCTTCTACGTAGAAAGTAAATCAGGTAAATCATACTTCTTGGCTGTTCTCAAATTAAATAAATAGGAAAAAGGCCATCTTTCTCCTTCCCTTCTTCTAACTGAATTGACTGTTGTTCTGATTACCTCTGACACACTCTCACCAGTGCTATTCAACATTGTACTGGACGTGATAGCCAATGCAGTAAGGCAAGAAAAAGAAAGAAAAGGCATTTGATTGGAAATGAAAAAGTAAAACTGTTTCTACTCACAGATGATGTGACTGTTTAAACAGGCAATCCTAAGGAGTGTGTATTACAACAATCGAACCAATAAAAGAATTCCACCAAGGTCACAGAATACCAAGTTAATATCGGGGGAAACAAAGCATTTTGATAACTCGCAGCAAATAATTTAATAAAAAATACCTAGGTACAAATCTAACAAAAGGCATGCAAGACCACTATTGTAAAAACCACAAAATACTGCTCAGAGAAATTAAAGAAAACCTGAATTAATGGAGAGGTATACTGCATCCATGAAGCACAAGAATCAGTATTATCCAGATGTCAGTTCTTCCTAAATTGATTTATAGACTCAATGCAATCCCAATCACTATCACTATCCTGCTAAGGCTCTGTTTTGCAGAAATTGATAAACTGGCTCAAAATTTTATATGAAAATGCAAACTAGAATACTGAAAGAGAAAAACAATGTTGGAAGACTTTTACTAATTGATGCTTACATAGTAGCATAAAGTTATATTAATCAGTGCAGTGTGGTACTTGCATAAGGACTAACAAATAGATCAACAGAACACGATAAAGAGCCTAGAAACCCATCTACAATCATGGGGCTTCCTGCTTTTCAGACAAAGATGCCAAAGCACTCCAATGGGAAAAGGAAGTCTTTTCAACAAATCATGCTGTAGTAACTGGATATGGAAAACACAGAACTTATCACATATGATATATAAATATTAATTAAAGTTGTATCGTAGACTTAAATGTAAAACTCAAAACCATAAAGCATTTAGAAAAAAATGTAAGAGAATATCTTTGAGACTCTGAGGTAGACAAAGGACACAGAAAATAACAGTGAAAAAAAACAATGATAAATTAGTCTTCCTAAAAATTTAAATGTTTCTAAATACTGTTAAGAAAATATATAGGCTAGACATACCCTGGGAGAAAACATGATCACCCCACACCCCCATGGACCTTCTCTCATACCAGACCTACAGAACCCTTAGTAATGTTTTTGATACTAATATTACTCGTAAATTATAATTCCTGTATATCACTGAATGTCATGGCAATAGTAGTGACATAAATAACTACCAAAATTAAAATCACACCTTTAAGTAATGATAACACATGCAGACTAAACTATGTGATTCACCCCATGGTCACTGTATTTGGAGAGTAATGACAGCTCTGACCGAATGCATTGAAAGGTTGAAAGATAAATTGGCATAGAGTTTTAACCTCTTAGGTACATTGATAATGTAAGCTGGCCTTACGAAAACTGTTATAACTAACTACAGGGATACTTTTATAAAAATTATTAAATTTCTGCTGAAAATATTACAGACAGTCTTGCTGGTGTCACCGCCTCTGACCGTGTCACTTGGTGCGGTGCACACCCCCCACACCCTCTTAGAGACGGCACTGAGCATATTTACACCCTTACCTTGAACTCATCTGAGATTTCAGATACAAAAGAAGATATCTGCTTCATGAGCCTGTCCACACTGCTCTCACTTCCTGTTTTGAGAAGCGTGGTGATGGCCAGGGTCGCAATGCTCCGGTTGGAGTCTGTGATCAAGTTCTCCAGGTCCAGATTGCAGGCGGTGACGGCAGAGGGATGTTTCATCGCCACCTGTGGAAGGGCAAGAGCAAAGTGAAGGGAATCGCTGCTGGTAAAAGCCAGACTTTAAAAAACAGAGGAAACGGAAAACAGAAGTTGTCAATAAGCTCAGTAGCTTTTCGGTTTTTTTGTTTTAAATCTTCAAGTGAGTTTCAAGAAGACTATCTCCAATTAATAAGGTATGCCATTTGATAAATAATTAACTGTCACAGTACTCAGCACAGCACTCTCTCTTAGGTTCCTGTTATCTGTGTAACAGTATCACAGGCTGCCTTGTATTATAATTGGCTTATTTTCATTATAGTTAGCTATGTGCATGTATGTTTACTCCACTAGACGTCAGGATCCCTGAAATGGGAACCTAGCATGGTAAACACTACTCAACAAAGACTTTTAATCACCTCTTAAAACACACTTCTGTTTGTAACAAGCAAATTCCAGCCAAAGTAGGTATCTCATGGTCACTAAAATGTGTCAATTTTCCTGCTTCCTTGCTGGAGTTCATGTTGCTCCCGCTCTCTGCCTATCCCCATATTGGTACTGGATCCCTTATCCACAATTCTGAAACCCACAATGCTCTGCAAATCAGAGTATTGGCATCCAAATTTACTGAAGAGCACCACATGACCGTAAGTGATGGAAAAGCATTTAAGTATCAATTTATCCCACTTAATGAAGGCAGTCATAGGTTTTGCACAGAAATATGAATGTGTCTACTGGTGGGGTGCCACTTGAAGTCTACAGGGGCCAATATACAGTATAAAGATGGTACCATATTGGCCTTCCAAAATTCACAAAAAACTCAAGTGTAAGACACATCAGGCTCCAAGACTACAGATG